GGGGGGCTCGTGGGCAGGCGGGAGCTGCCTCCCCGCAGGGTCTCCCCGGGGAGCGGGGGCGTGGTCCCGCCCCGTGCTGGGCTTCGGCGCCAGGGTTTGGGTTTCGCGCTTCTGTCCCTTTGCTTCTGCCCAACTCTGTTCCTGCCTGAGGGGGGACCTCAGACGGCACCCGCCGGCCGGCCCACCCAGCCGGGCTCCTGATCTCGCGCCCTGCAGGCTCCTCGGGACTGGGCAGCCCCCTGGGCCGGAGCCGGCACAGCAGCAGCCAGTCGGACCTGAGCGGCGCCAGCAGCAGCTCCTCGGGGCTCAGCTTCACGGCCTGCATGTCGGACTTCTCCCTGTACGTCTTCCACCCCTACGGGGCCGGGAAGCAGAAATCGGCCGTCTCCGGCCTCAGCGCCGGCTCCGGGGGCCTAGGTACGCCGGGCAGGGGCTCCCTGCCGCCACGCGCGTCTGTCCGGGAGCGCAGCGCCCTTGCCCGACGGACTCCAGGCAGGACCAGAAACCCCTTCTTCCTGCTGACAGCCGCATCTCCGAGGTGGAAGTGTGAGCTGAGAGACTCAGGCGGGTCGTCAGAATTTAGCGCTCAGCATAGTCAGGCCCCCTAGAGGCAGCAAACTCCGGCTAGCGGGAGGCTCAGGCTTCCCCGCGCCTGAGAAACTCTGAACGGTAAATTGTCAGTGGGCCCGTCACTCCGTTAAAGCTAAGGGAGACTCGTTCCACGATTTCAGTGAGCTCAGGTGTCCCAAAGCTCCTAAAACGCAGGTGCCCGCCAGGGCAGCGGGGCCCACGGCCCGCTCTGGGGAGGGCTCGGGTGAGGTCCTCTCTGGCCTGCGCCTGTGTCCTGCCGGGGGACGCCCGCGCTGGCGAAGGTCCAGGGCGTCGCCCGTCTGACCGGGTGGTCGTGTGCGTTCTGTCGAAGGCAACGTGGACGAGGAGCCCACCTCGGTCACCGGCCGGAAGGACTCTCTGAGCATCAACCTCGAGTTTGTGAAAGTGAGTCTGTCCCGCATCAGGCGGTCAGGAGGCGCCACGTTCTCGGAGGGTCAGCCCTCGGGCAAGTCTGCAGGCAAAGTGGACACCACGCTGATAAACATATCTGGTACTCGCGCCCCGAACCGCTTGCTCCCCAGAAATAGGGCCCTTGACAGCGCTGCACAGTGCTCCGCTCCTTGCCCCGGCCTGGGCCTGGCGCCACGGCTCCCAGCCCCGCGTGTCCCTGTGGGAGGGGCTCAGGCACCCAGACCTGGCGGCCACGCACCGCTGAGGCCTCATCGGCCTGCCCAGCCCCAGCGCGGAGGGTCGAACTCCGCCCGTCCTAAAGACACCCACTCTGCGCTGCCAGCACCGAGACCTGCCTGAGCCGGGCGGTGGGGCAGGGGGCTCCAGAGCGGTCACTCAGGCCGGAGGGCAGCTCTGTGAGCGGCGAGACCGCCCCGAGCCTCCAGCATGGCCGCAGGCGGCAGCAGCGTCACACAGTAGGGGCGGGGGTGGGGGGCGGGGGGTTACCCCCGGCCGGGGACCCGCAGCAGCCGCCCGCCTGAGGCCGCCCCTGGGCTGTCCCGGGGGGTGGGCCGTGTCGGGAGGGCGGGCCCTGGGGCGCGAGGGCGGCCGTCCGAGGGGCCGCCTGACCATGCTGTCCCCGCCAGCCGTCTGCGACATCGGCTCTGCCTCCTTCAAGTACGACATGCGCCGGCTCAGTGAGATCCTGGCCTTCCCCAGGGCCTGGTACCGGCGCAGCATCGCGCGGCGCCTGTTCCTCGGGGACCAGACCGTCAACCTGCCACGTAAGCGGCGCGGACCCCGCTCCCCGTCGGCCCTGCCGAACCCGGACGCACCCCGCGTCCCGCCCTTGCCCCCGGCGCCTGTAGGATCTGACGGCGCAGTGGGCCCTGGCCCTCCTGGGTTAGGTGACGCTGTCGGGAGTGGGGAGCGAGAGCGCGGGCGGGGGGCGATCGGGCACTGGCATGGCCTGTGGGCCACATCTGCCTCCCGGGCCGGATCGCGGGTGCCTGGTTTGGCCACGAGCCCCGGCCGGAGCGTCAGGCGGCCCCCCGAAGTCTCACCGCCCCTCCTCCTCCGTCGCTAGCATCCGGCCCCGGGACTCCTGATTCCATCGAGGGGGTCGGCCAGCACCTTTCCCCAGAGGCGTCGCGGAAAGCCTACTGCAGGGCCTGGGAGCAGCCCAGCCAGTCCGCCTCCTTCAGCCACACGCCCCAGTCGCCCAGTGTGTTCGGGGAGCACGTGGCCAGCAGCGCCGTGTCGCCGGGGACCGCGGCGCAGAGCCTCAAGTCCCCCGCGCCCGCCCGGGCCCGGAGCGTCTCCGACTCCTCAGTGCCCCGCAGAGGTGACTCCACTCCCCACCACCAGGAGCCCTGGGGCCGACTCCGCCGACACAGGGAGACACACCCTTGCCAGACCCCACCCCCAAGCCTGAGGCTCGCAGCCCTCACCTGCAGCAGGGCAGGGACGGGGGCCTGAGCAGGAGGGGCCGAGCCTCCTGCTGTCCCGGACAGACCCTCAGCGCGGCGCGGGGCCGACGTCGGCCGGCCTCCGTGCCTCTGCGGCTCCTGATGCCGCCCGGCCCCGTTCTCACGCCTCTGGCCTCTCTTACTTGTCGGGGGAACCACACGAGCCACAGTCGGCATCTC